AAGTCCTTTTTTTTTACGGTATTTTACAGAAGGTCCTACAGGGGGTTCAGGCTCTCACTCCTAGATCACTCCTAGTGATCCACCTGTTTACAGCCTCCCAAGAGCTGGGATTACGGGTGTGCCACCACGCCTAGTCTCAATTGCCATCTCAGTGTGCCCCAGGAGTAGGGTCGGGAGAGCAGGCCAGGGATCAAACCCCTGGCCCCCTGGCCCAGGAGTAGGGTCGGCAGAGCAGGCCAGGGATCAAACCCCTGGCCCCCTGGCCCTGCTTGCGGGCACTTTAATCCGTTTAGCTATTTGGCCGGCCCTTACAAGTCTGATCTTTATAGTGAGACCCTACAGACCCTGTATTAAATACATATACATATACGTATTTAATACAGAATATACATATGTATTTAATACAGAAAAGCTCTGAAATAATAAATACGCATTGTTTAAAATCACTAAGCTTGTGTTTATTTTTAAACAATAATATGAAGCTAATATAATCCAGACTTCACCACCACTGACACTCAGCCATCTCCTCTTCCCATGTAGGGAATCATAATGTTGATAAGATTAAGTCAACTCTTAGTTCAATCCCCGGTTCCGCAAAAAAAAAAAAAAAATCATTAGTGCTCTAGGGCTGGTGAGATGGCTCAGTGGTCTAAAGCACCTACTTAGAACAAGCTAAGCTAAAAAAAACAGAGACCGCGGTTCAATCCCCCAGCACCACATGCCAGCCAGCCCCGCCCCCTGGTGGGCTGAGCTGGCCACACATACACACACAAAATAAATAAACAAATTAAAAAAAAAAGATTAAGTCAACTCTTATATTATAAATATAGCTGAGCACTGTTCTCAAAGCAAACGACTGCTTTGTCATGTGTGTCATGTCACACTGAATGCTGGCTCTTTTTTTTTTTTTTTTTTTTTTTTTTATGTGTGTGTGTGGCCAGCTCAGCCCACCAGGGGGCAGGGCTGGCTGGCATGTGGTGCTGGGGGATTGAACCGCGGTCCCCGTGCTTTGCTAAGCTTGTTCTAAGTAGGTGCCTTAGAGCACTGAGCCATCTCACCAGCCCCTGAATGCTGGCTCTTGTGTACCTTTTTGTCACTTTCTTTTATAACATTAATATAGCTTAAATTCTTCTGTTTGGTACCTTTCCATTGATTATCATTCACTGTCCCTAAAACTCTGCATTATATATTCAAATATACTATTCTGTAAGAACTATAATGTACAACTTATTTAAAAAGACTGATAAAGTACGCTAAAATGTTAAAAATTAGTTTACTAAAAGTCATCAAAAAAGATAACACACATAGACGTTGTTACATAAGCAACAAAGGTTCAGTATACCAAACATTCAAAGAACTACAGAACACTGAGAAAAAGGCAAACAGCTATAGTAGTTGATTCATCACTGGGACATGCAACCCACCACCCAGCACTTAAAGGACACAAGGTTCCACTGGCTCTTGGTTTCAGGGCACTCAGTCCATGGTTGGATGGCAGGAACATCATGGTGAGAGGGTGAGGCAGTGCAAAGACGTCTGCTTTGTGGCGGCTGGAAGCAGAGCACGTACCGGTAGCTGGGGAGGCAGCCGGAGCCACATGTAGTATCTATCCAAGGTCGTGCTGCCATGACGCACCCAGATAGCCCCGGAAGTGTGCTTTTCTGATCCCATGAAGGCTCACAGCCCAATCGCGTCGACACAATTAAGCTTACCTGTCACATTCACCCCAGTGAACTTGACACCCAAACACCTCTCGAACTGGAGAAAGCGGCCGAAGCTGGACAACGGTCACACATGCGGGAGCAAGACGAAGCCAGAGGGCCTCAAGCAATCAAGCTACTTGCCAGGGAAAACTCCAGTCATCAGGCACTAGGCAATCCTGTGTGTGTGGTACTAACTCTGACAAGTGTATAAATAAATGCCCCTCCGGTGGCGGTTCAGTTCCCCCTTCTGTCAGGAGAGAGGGCTCCACCTGACCTCAGCTTTTGTCTCTTGTATTTCTTCAGACTCTCACCATTTTTCTCTGGGACCATCAAGAGCTGCGTGGGCACAACATTAAGCCAAGCTCTCTAAACACAAGAGTAAGTTCATAATTACACCTAACATGACATAATTATCCAGTGTATGAATGAAAACACAATAATCTCTTCCCCAAAGTCTCGGCAGTTCCAGCATTTTTTTTTTCCATAATAATTCCAGCATTTTTGAAAAGTCCAAGTCAAAGTCTCCCCTGAGCATTAAGGCGAACTCTAAGATGTGAATGTCTATAAAAATCAAGAACAATTACATAATCCCAAGGTACAGTGGCACAGGGCAAACATTCCCATTTCAAAAGAAAGGACTAAGGGCCAGCCAAATAGCTCAGCAAATCAAAGCACCTGCAAGCAGGTGCGGGGGCTGGGGGTTCAATCCCAGGGCCTGCCATGCTGGTCCCCACCCACAAGGAGTGCTGATCCGGCAATTGAGACTGGGCGTGGTGGGGTACACATGTAATCCAAGCTCTTGGGAGGTGGTAAATGGGCGGATCAATACAAGTCCAATCTAGTAGTGAGACCCTGAACACCCTATAGACCCTTCCCTAAAAAAATAAAAAATAAATAAATAAAAACAAACTTCAAAAGGGAGGACTAGTAGGTTATGTCTAGCACCCACAGCACACAGTGGTAAAAAGTGAGCTCCAGAGCGCTTCAGCTGTAGCCTCAACACCTTTTGCTCGGCCCAGTGGTTCCACATGCTGCCCACAGCTTTCTTCAGCAGATGTTCCGCATCCCTGCACCTCCAGCTTCCTGGGGTCTCCACGGGCCTTTCAGCTCTATTCTCATAGCTTCATGCACTGACCTCTCAGGAGCTCACTGCCCTAGCTTCCCAGGCCTTGCTTTGAAATTTGAGTGGAAGCCTCCCTGACGCCACAGCTCCTGCATTCCGTAGGCCAATAATGCCAGCATCACATGGCAGGTACCAAGTTCTGTCACCAGTGCAGGCAAGTCACTAGGCCCCCTGGAAATTTGGGTGCAACAGTGCCTGAGTGCCTAGATGGCTTGAGCACAGTGAAATGGATCCCAGAGGGCCTAGGAGGGCCTTTCTTCTTTCTTCTCAAATAAAAGGTTTATATGTTTGCACCTTTAAGTCTGCAATGAGTGGAGTCTTGTCAGTTCCTGAGATAACCTCAACCATCCTTCTTCTTGTCTTTTTTAAATATGTATTTGGTACAGGGTCTCACTACACAGCTTGGACTCATAGTTGTCCCCCCGTCTCAGCTTCCCCGGTGCTGGGATTACAGGAGCCACCATGCCCTGTTTTGGTGGCCAGCACAGCATGAGGTACCAGGGCCCCCCCAGCCCTCATATTTTATATTTATTTGTGACAAGATTTGCTATGTAGCTCTAAATGGTTCCAAACCCTTGGTTGGGCTCAAGCAATCTTCAGACTTATTTTGCCTCAGCCCTGAACAACCACGATTACAGGCATGTACCACTGTGCCGATCCAATAGTCCTTGTATTTTAAATACTCCTTTTGTTATTCCTAAATTAATCCTTTTATCCATGCAATTCTTTACATTAGGGTTGATTATGACAAATTGAGAATTGAATATATTAATTTTTTTTTTAGGGTATAATCCACAGGGTGTTCAGGATCTCACTGCTAGATCAGACTCATAGTGATTCTCCTATTTACAGCCTCCCAAGTGCTGGGATTACAAGCGTGCGCCACCACGCCCAGTCTCAATCACAGTCTCAACACCCCAGGGCTGGCACAGCAGGCCTGGGGATCAAACCCCTGGCCCTTGCACCTGCTTGCAGGAGCTTTAATCCTCAAGTATTTTATTTTAAAGAAAAAACAAAATTTCAGGGCCGGGGAGATGGCTCAGTAGAATAAGTGCTTGCCTGGCAAGCACAAGGGCCTGAGTTCAATTCCCGGTTCCGCAAAAAAAAAAAAAAAAAAAAAAAATTTCAAAACAAGATACGAGGGTGACAATGGTCAATACATTGCGTAGTTATCTTTAGTTACTCAGAGTACAAGATATCAGCATTTAATTGTCCCAACAACATTAGCACAACACTTGGTTTCCAACGAACTAAATTAGTAGTATAACTATCTTAACCAACCTTTTTGTTTTCCCTTTTCCCTCGCTTTTCTCCATTCCCCTAACCCAGTTTCTTCCCATTTTACAATGTCAACTGTATATTTTGGATCTGATTTACACTGGAGAGACAATATGGTTTATACACGTGCACTTTGATTATTTCACTTATGACTATGGTCTCAAGATGCATCCATTTACCTAAAAAGTCTCCAGTTTATCTTTCTTTAAATGCCATTATATTAAAAAAAAAAAAAGTATCCATTCCTCAGTTGGTGGGCACCTGCTAGAAACACAGGTGCACATACAGGATTGTGGTACAATGTTTTTAATTCTCCTGGGAAGATACCCAGGAGGAGAACAACTGGGTCAAATGGGACCTCCAATCCTAGCTTTCTGAAGACTCGCCACCGATTTGGACAGTGGTCCCACCAGTCTGCACTCCCACCAACAGTGGAGAAGGGTTCCTCTTCTCCCACGGCCCCTCCAGCATTTGTTCACTTCGTGATGACAGCCATTCTTTCCGGGGTGAGATGGCGTCTCGGTGGTGTTTTAATTTGTATCTACCGAATGACCAGTGGATGTTGAACGTTTTTTCATATATTTACCATTTGTATTTCTTCACCTCAGAAGTGTGTCATCTCAGATGCCCATTTTTGGATTGGGTCTTTAAATCTGGGAGGTCTGTGGGTTTTTTTAGTTCTTGAGTTATTCTGAATAGTGATCCTTTGTCTGAAGAAAAATGTCTTTTAACATTTTTTCCCACCTGTGGGCTGTCTCTTCACTCTGTAGGTTTTTCTTGCTATGTACGCACTTGTCAATAAGATGAAATCGGGACTGGGGAGATGGCTTCATAGAATAAGCGCTTCCCTGGCAAGTGCAAGGGCCTGAGTTCAATCCCCAGTCCCACCAAAAAAAAAAAAAAAAAAGATGAAATCCTAGTTGTTCTCTGTGATAGTTGCTCTGATCAGGATTTTACTCATGAAGTCTTTGCTTACATCAATGTCTTTTAACAGTTTTACCCATTCTGTCCTCTAACAGATTTAATGTCTCTTTTAATATTTAGATCTTTGATCCATTTTGAGTTTGGTTTAGTACTAATCTTTGGCATCTGTTCCATTGGTCTTCAAGTCTTTTTTTTTTTTTTTTTCCCAGTACTATGCTGTTTTTATCACAGTAGCTTTACAGTATAATTTCAAGCCAGGGATTGTGAACCCCCCTGCTGCCTTAGGGCTCAGATTTGCCTCTGCTACCAAGGGTCTCTTCTGCTTATACATAAATTTTAGGATTATCTTCTCTAATTCTGTGAGATACGCTGTTGAAATTTTGACCGGAATGTTTTGGAAGTGTGGCCATTTACACTATATTGGTTCTTCCTACTCAAGAGCAAGGATATCCCTCCACTTTCTGATGATACCCACTTCAACCTCCTTATTGGTTTTTCACCTCTGTTCATGAGGGAGATTGGCCTGTAATTCTCTTAGTTGGGTCCTTCTCTGGTTTTGGTACTATAGTCATTCTTATCCTTGATTCTTTTTTAGAGTATAATTTCAAAAGTCATTAAAAATTGGAAATTTATTGTTCCTTTCATATTCAATTTGCTTTGCCAGAAATGTTTTACTTTTCTGGTCAATGTATTCTTGAGAGAAGAGATTGACTTCAGGAATAAAAAAATGCTTCAGTTCTTCTTCCCTGAGTCTCTCAATAAAGAACACCACACAGGTGTCAAAGCAGACATTTATCTTTTTGCGATTCCAGAGACTGTCATCGGAGTGCTCAGCACAAAAGTGAAAGAAGGCAGTTTTCACGTGGTAAGAACAGAATTTAGACATTTCCTTTCGTTTTTCAAACTTTTTCTTCAGCTGTTCCAAAAGGTATTTCATTAATTTTAAGCAGTCCTTCCTGTTTCAGAAACAAGTAAGCCATTTATTTTTATTTATTTACAACCTACTTTATTTTTCACTATACTGGCCAACTTTAGAAACTCAAAATGAGTAATCCTTTTTTTTTTTAATGAGTAATCCTTTCCAACCTCATTTCTTTGTGGTGCATAGGAAAATAATTACCAAGAAAAATAACATGGAAACATAATTACCAAACAATTACCAAAAAAAAGTAATTACCAGTTAGTGTGGTCTCAAGTTCGGCCAGACAGTCCCAAGCTTTCCACTTAGCCAAGCCACCCTAACACACGCACCAGTAGCCAGTGGGAGAAACCCTTCCAGTGTCCTCCTACAAATGACATTAATATTCGCACCTTCCCCAGATCACCCCAGCCCTGCCCTGTCCCCCAGCTCAACCAAGAAATGATAAGGCTGAGCTACAGTCAACGAAGACGTAAGCGTAGCGCACATAATATGCCATTTAACAAACCAGAACATTACCTGCAACATCTCACTCCATCAGCTTCACAGCATGTTTTAGAATGTCCGTGATCGTTCAAAAGGCTCTTTTCAATGTGGGAGAAAGACAGCCGCCATGTCTCTTCTTAACGTCAAAAAGAATAAAAAAGTACTTTACCAAAAGCATTCATGTCTAAAGATTTAACGCTTGTGTTGTGTCTTTATTAAAATGTTGTTCTCTGGGGCTGGTGAAATGGCTCAGTGGTCTAAAGCACCTACTTAGAACAAGCTTAGCAAAGCACAGAGACCGCGGTTCAATCCCCCAGCACCACATGCCAGCCAGCCCCG